TGGTGCTTAGTTGCTGGCTGGGGCTAAACCACGACACTACCTTTACTTCACTTCCTCCCGATTTATTATGTGCCTCCTTGCAGCATAGGTGACCACTGGAAGCTTGAACTAGATAGAAACTTTCAATTGTCTGGCCAACTCCTTAAATAAAAAAGACTTTTGGGTTAATTTTCTGACTTGGAAAAGACTTACAAAGCAACACAGCTGAAAGGAGGGGAGGGAAGGAGGAGGGAGGGCACAAAACTCCACTACTGTGCCCTACTTACTGTCAACAACCATCAGGCTAGCCATAGACATAATTACCCACCTCTCAACAACAGAGAGTTACAGGGCCCGAGCACATTCAGTAAGATGCATGCAGTTACAATGAGTGTTGCAGGAGGAAATAGCTTTTTGAGAGGCACAAAGGGTCCTCCCTTCTGCTCACTTCATTAAGTTTAAATAAGAAATACCTCCCCTAATCACCCCTGATGAACTTTCTTCCTCCCAGTAACCAAAATTGAGCTACTGACCTATAAAACTCCCAAAGCCTATGGACTAGGCTCTGACACAAGACTGAATTAATCTGCTTATCCAGCACTGCTAATTTCACCCAAAACTTCTTCAGCCTCTTCCTATCTATTAAATAAAACCCAAGGAAACCTGCTCCCAAAGGTTTTAGAAAAACATCTGGTGGGAAGATTGGCTCAAAGCAAGAGTACACAGCCTACAGACATCCTGGCTTCTCTGCAGCATGGGCTGCAGAGGCATTGTATTTCCAGTCTTCAGTGGTCCCATCATTAAAGGTGATGGAGGCTGGATTACACCATCAGCAGATGGAAGTCCGAGATGATGTGCTGTACATCACAGACAGAGAGCTACAGCAGATCATACAGAAGTGACAATCAAAACCAGTACAAAATAAAAATGCTAGTCTGGATTGCCACTGACAAGACTGCAGACAGTAGCTGGAGAACTGCAGTGGACAGAAAGTCTAAAGGAAATCTAGCAACAGGCATAGAAACAAAAGAAATTACTACCTGGTGCAGAAGTAGGATATTCCAGCTATCGGGCCAATGTATCTAAACATACAGATTAAAAATTTTCCATAGAAAATGCATCTCCAAAGACAGCGCGAGACTGAAACAGTATCACGCTACACAGATTCTCAAGTCTACTACAGCCAGAGAGATCTCACCATTCTGGAGGGGAGACAACTCCTGACTGCTCTTCTGCCGGGGGGGTGACAACAGCACAGCTGGCTGGAAGATGTGAGATGGCAAGCTTCTACCAGCTCCCGCACCACCTGAAGCACCTGACCTCTGGAGAGACTTGAAAGGAAGTTCTTCCTGTGGGAATTTCAGCATACCTTCCGTGTTGCCTGCATCAGCCCTAGGCTCAAAATAGCTCAAATCAGGTTTTTCTAAAGAAAGAGACAAAGCAGAGATAGAATTAAAAAAAAAAAAAAAAAAAAATTAGTTTTAGTGCAATAGGGAAAATTCTCAATAACAACTCATGTTCAGGTATCTGAAAAGACAGACTAGAGTATGTTCCCCACACACTGCTAACTTCCTTCTGATCCCCAGGTACAGAACTCTTTCACTGCAGCATAACACAAGTTTTCACTGGCCTTAAGAGCTCTTACATGTAGCCTCACACTTTCAGGATAGTAGTAAGAGATCTGTTTGTAGACCATGCACAAGACTTACAGACACATGACTTGTGAGGAACAGGTATTTCAGTGGGCTGCATTTGGTAATATTCTCTTGAGAAAAGCAGACCTACGCACTTGTTCTAATGAACCTATAATATAAATTTGATGGCAACAATGGTGGAGTGGAAAACAATTCAAAGCTTTTTTTAGCTCTCTGATGATATTTTTGTGACTTAATTCAAATCAGACATGTCTTCAGTTAAAAAAAAAAAAAAGTTATTCTTCCTTAACTACAACTAGCTTGTGTCTATGTTGCCATCTATTTTGAACATACCAGGGAGGCACAAAATGAATAGCATGAAATCAAAGTTGTAGCTAGCTATGAGACCACAGTAATTTGAATATGCTTACATCCACTGCTCCATCAGTGCTGTCTGTGAATTCTCTCTTCACAGTTTTATTCAGGACATTTGTTCCCAAAAGAGAAGTTAGTGGAAAATTAAGCAAAACATACCCAATCACAAAATGCAAGAGACAAAAAGCACCCTTCAAAGGCAAAGAGCCAGAAGAGGCTGTTCACATAAGATCCTGCTTGTGGTTCACACTACTGAGGTTGAGAGATCGAACTTAAAACCTGCCACCCACTGTTCAACGACTGTGGCAAGAAATGAGAAACATCTTTCTGCCCTGTTTCACTGTACATAACTGCATTTCCAAAGTATCCTCCTCACACGCTATTTGTCACTATGATATGCCCCCGACTCCTCTCAGCCACTCTTGTCTCTCCAGAGAAGTCCTATGTTAACTTACACATGGTTTCTGTGCTAAAACTAGCTATTTCAAATGTTCTACATCCAGACACCTTAAGGGTACAAGATATCTCCTTCTGAAGGAAAAGGAGGAGGAATAAATATTTTTGTAACTTTAGAAAGCTTTCTGCTCAGTAAGACGCCTTTTCCTGAGAAGAGACACCAATAAGGAAAAAAGATTTGGAAATTCTAGTCTTGCAGAATTGTTTTATAGGAAGGTTTATTGGGGGTTTTTTGTTTGTTTTTTTGAGGGGTGCTTTTCTGATTGTTTGGATTCTATATTTTGGGGTAGATTTTTTGTTTGTTCTTACAAAGCCTGGGTAAATCACAAAAAAGGGATCTGGTATGTGGCTTCTTCCTGAGTATCCCACAGAAACAGTCAAGAAGAAAGTTTCTGATGACAAAAATGCCCACAAAACCAACAAATAGCTCCAAGGAATCTTGGGATTCACAAGGAGTTACTGACCTTGAGAGCAAAAATGATGCATTTAAGCAACCAATCAGGGAAGACAGTTGGGAGAAAACTCCCTGGTGAAAGAATGTAAAAAGTACAAGATTAATCATGTTTGGTTAGTTTGCCCATCAATGCTACTGGCTTAACTTAGCCTGCATCTATGTTATGTATCACTCAACTGGTCATTCACCTCTGATCTGAAGTCACAAATATCAAGAAACAGACTTCTGCCTAGTTAACAGGCCTCAGCAGCTGCTGTTTCTGGTCAGCAGCGACCTCCAGCGTCTTACGGAAGAACCAACCTCAGCAACAGAAAGGCAAGATCCTGATTCAGTTGGGTTTTGGTTTTTGGGTTTTTTGGGGGGGCGGGTTCATGGTTTGTTTTTTTTTTTTCTTTTTACAACCTTCATAATAACCCTGACTTTGTAAGCCATCTCAATGGGTGAAGGCTACTCCCCTCCTGCCCCCTGTTTTGTTTTTTTTTAAATATATTATGTATCACTTAAAGCTCAAACCCAGGACTTGAAGTCCCGATCCAGACAGAAGGAAGCCAGTGGGGATGGAATACAACCTGTAATATTGTTAAAAAATAATCTGTAGCAAACTGCTTGCACTCACAGCAAAACCCATGGCATATTAATTTCCAGAAGTGCAATTCACGCAAGAGGTATTTATTCAAGTAGACATCTATTAAATACCAAATTTTCCGCTACAGTGATAAACTAGCCACAACTCCCATTTCAACCTTCACATATGCATGCACACACCTTGGCCATTCACTGGACCTTTGCTTGCAATTCCAAAATGGTTTGGACTTTGTTCTCTTCTACATTCTGTCAAAGGGAGGCCTTTAAATGCTTGTGTGAGAGAGATCAGCTGTTCATCTGTTACCGTCATGTATTGCTGAAGCTTCTTCTAAAGGATGAAGGAAAAACAAGAGAGAGAGATACAGAAATCTGTATTCTAGCAACAGGAATTAGATTATATACCACAGGCAGCTCTGAGAAGAAATTAGTCTGTTAACACTACTGCATGAATTTGTGGGACTCCACTGAGGTATTAAATATTGGTGTCTCCACGTTTCTCATTTATTTTCTCTCTTGCCTCAAAGAAATTCTTTGGTTTTCCCTTTTCCTAACTCATCGTCCCACTTCCTCTCCAATGCAGCTTTATTGCTTCATTCCCAAATGTAACCATTGAACAAATCTACCTCCACTGCAAACTGAAAAAAGAAAAACGTAGTATTATATCTAGTCTACTCTGTTGCTCTAGTAATGTTAACAGTAGCTAAGCGTGGAGGCAGATGCTTAAACCTTTAGACTGATAAAGTAAAGCTCGGTTTAATGGAACTAGCATTTTCTCAGGCTTTAAAGTTAAATATCATACAGAAAGATAAAATGTTGACTTTCCAAACATCCCCCCCCATGCCCGCTATTATCATTCTCAGACTCCTCATTCGATTTTATAATTTTCTTCCTGTTTATTGTTAAAATCTCCTGAACATACCACAATGCATCTCAGCACACATTTGCAACACAACTCTAATCACTCATTCTGAGAGGAATGGGGGCTAAGTACCTGTATAGTAGTGTTTTCTTCCCTCACTAGAAGTATTTCTGCAGTCAGAGCATCAATCAGTTCTCTGTGTTCATTCAACATCTCCTCATGCTGCTGTCTCATCACCTCTTTCTCACGCAGCTGCATTTCATTCTAAAGAGGGAGAAAAAGTTAAAACCCTACTATAACCAATACAGATTCCTATTTGGAAACAGGAACCAGTCCATATCACATCATACTGTAACAGCTCTTCCCACTTTTGCTAAATTGACTTAATTACTTTCACAACAAAATACAATTTTCAGGGCTTGAGAACTGTCAGAGAGCTCACTGTTCCTTCTTTGTTACTCTAGAACCCTGTAGGGAATCCTATACATCCTTGTTCTTCTGTCTTTACAACTTTTACAGGCTGTAACCACAAGCGTTGTCTCTCTGCACAGATACCATTTTGTAAGTCACTGAATCTTCATGCAGTTATCAAATAACTCCAGGTGTGCTGACACTTGTCAGTATCCTGTGCTATTTGTGCCTATTCTTTAGTTTCCTTAATTCATTAATGAAGACAAATTTGACTAAATAAGGGAGAAAGTAGTTGCTTTCTAATGTTTTCCCTCAAGGAGAGAGAAAGTTCTAGAGGGTTTCATTTTTTTTTTAAAGAAGGGACAAAAAGTTTTATTTGTTAAGTAATCCACTTGAGCATGAGGCAAAAGACCTTACTGTAGAACCTCTTGCCTTCAAAAGATATTATCAAACTATTGATAGACCACTGCAGTAGCCAGGCTTCCTGTACAAGACACAAAAGAGTCCCTTCCGCCTCTAATGGGTAAATTGAATACACAACTGCCACTTTTTGGACCATCATAGCTAAAAGAGTGGAAGCTACAAAGTCACATAAACACATCAGAATTAGCCGAAGGAGCCCTTCCCCAGATGGTTGCCTGTATTTACTCAAATGAATCCCTGAATAAAAGAAACACATCCCAACTCCAAAACACAAGAGATCCTAAAAAGCAACTGGGGTACTCTTCTGCTGCACAGACAAAAATTAGAGCATGAGCTGCCCATAACATACCATAGATTATTTTCTGCTGGCATTGGGACCAGAAGTGAAAAACCACCAAGGAAGAAGTGTTAAGACACAACAGCTCTGCAGCCACATAAAGTGAATGAATAAAGAAATAATTTTGAGAATAAACCACAGATACTGCCACTAGACACAAAGACAGGCAGATATACCTCCTTTAAACATATCAGAGACAACCCATCCATTTTCTGGTTCTCTTCCACCTAGAGAGAACAGCTTTTCTGTACTAATCCAAGTGAAGCAGGTTGGCACAGAAAATGGAAAAAACTCAGACAGTTCTATCTTTTTAGAAATGAAAGACAGCACAAAATAAGAACTTTAACCCTGGTAGCAGTGATGAAGCCTATTGATGCCTTAGGTCATCTGGATGAGCTATTGTATCTACTCATCCTACATAGTGTCAACGTAGCCTTGGAGGAAAAGCTTCCAAGCAGCTATGTGTCTTACATTTATGCACGGGGAGAGTGTCAGGGTTAACAGCTGTATGCATCCATTCCTACCATCAGGTACGATTTGTGTCTGGTATACCCTGAAAGAAGTATCTTCATTCCAGCCCATTGCCAGGTGTACCTCTAATCTCATAAGCTTTGTTTTAACACTGCATCATAACATGCAGAAGCAGAGGTAGAGAACATAGCAACACAGATTAACGTAGTATGTGTATACTCTAACCTTTTGCCCTGTGAGTCTGGCAGAAAAATAGCATTCTTAGTAGAATAGGGAAAAAAATTAATTCTAACATTTGGCAGATTACATTGAAATTCAGTTAGGAACCAAGTCAGGTTCATTCACTTCCCTTTAAGAATTAGGTATAGCTTGGCAAACAGTTCAGAAGTTCCTTTTTTCCCCTGCTCTCTAGCTTCTTCTATATTCACTAGCTGCTTCTTACAGTTCATTTTTTAATCACTTGTATTAATACAACTTTCATGAAAGATTCAGTAATCCAAGTTTCTCTTCCTACTTTTTATATATAATTTTGAGAATAAATTAAGCAACATCCTTGATCGTAATTCTTCTGCATTCAGCTTTTCTGCAGCAAAGCTGGAAAATATTTTTTCCCCCCAGAAGAGGAAGGAAATATTTCTAGAAGCTTCAAAACCTCTTGAAGACTGGTTGTTTATCTGAAATCAGAGGCTTTTTAAATAACCGCTGCAAAGTCACTTTCTTGAAATGCATTGCGAGCTACAATTCAGGCATTGGAACTTAGCTAACTCTCCTGGCTAGCCAAGACAGATGGTGTGCACAAGCACTTGATTTATTCCTAGCATCACAGGGACCACGTTTTAGGAAATATTCAGACAAGCTGTGCTTCTTCCCACTGAATTCTCAAATTCTAATTGTAATTAAAGCTCCATGAAAAGGGGAAAAGTCAGTGAAAATTACGGATGCACACTGTCTGTCTCAACCAACTCTGAATATAATTAGCCACACTTTGTAGCTTGAGTGACTTCTGCATATTTCTGCTCATGAATTTAGGTAGTAAATCTAAAAAAGTTGCAGACAATTCTGCAAACAACAATCAACCCCTGGAAGGAAGGAATGGTAACACATCTATTAAAGTAGAAACAACATCACAGAGGTGCTAGGTAAAAATTGGGAATACAAGTAAGAGTCATAGAATCATAGAATCGTTTAGGTTGGAAAAGACCTTTAAGATCATCCAGTCCAACCATTAACCTAACGTTACCAAGTCCACCACTAAACCAATTAAGGGCATAGTAGCAGTTTCATGTTTCCTGGCTTGGTGGCTGGATTATTTATAATGAAAGTAAAAACTAGGAATCATTAAGATTGGAAAGGACGTCTAAGATCATCAGTCCAATCATCAGCCCAACACCACCATGCCCACTAAACCGTGTCCCAGAGTGCCACGTCTACCCATTTTTTGAACACTTCCAGGGAGTCTTCTCTCTCTACATCTTTCAAAATAAGTAGTCTCCTTAAACACTGAGACTCCATGGCCTTCTGTCTGAATAGGATAAAAGCTTTTAAGATACATTGAATGTTACATTCATGAAGAGAAAGCAGCAACTAAGAAAGAAAAATATGACAAAGAAAATCTGGAGTAGTTTTGGAGGAAGCCTGAGGGTCAAGAATAACTCATTTCTGTGGAACACAAATTAAAGACAATCTAAATAGGGTTATAACTGCAATTATAATACAAATTTGATGCTAGTAAATTGACGTTTTCCTAATAAATGGAAAACATTCCATTGGAAGTCCAGAAGATCCTTCCCCGTAACTGCAAAAGAACCAAATGTAATACCCTGCTTTGGTATTACAACTTTAACAGAGAACAAGCATTCTTAACTTCTTTTAAAACATAAGATCTCCTCAGCCAAAGTCCATCTTCTGATGGTAGTGAATTTTCACTCTTGAATTGATTATTTACCATTTTCTTCCAAGACAGGTCTTACAGTAAATTCTTCCATATAGATTAAATACAGGGTAATACATGGAATAAGTTGTTATACATGCAGACAAAAAAAATCAAATTTTAAAGTAAGATGGGTTTTTTTTTTCCCAAATATGATACACTCTGAAAAGGAAACAAAATAGAACAGTTCCACATTCATTAGGAATCTATTGCCTTTGCTATGAAATGGAGCATTGGGATTTAGATAACATATTCTGATGCATCTATTACAAGTGCAGGAACTGCCATCATCTGGTTCAAAATGCCACATAGGCCCAATGAATCTGTGAGCCACTGCTGCATATAGAGTAGCTTTGGGTTAGAGATGAAATAAAACCCACTCTTTTTCTCTTTCCTTTTTAAAAAGGAGTTCTGCATGGCTTACAGGTAGTCTTCTTTATGGAATTCCATTGATCCCCAGCTGTGCACTGCTATAGTGAGCACTTCAGGTCATTCTTGCTTAAGGTGAAGTTGCTGCTATGGATAGAAAAAGAGAGCTAAAGAATCCCTCGAAGAAAATCGGGGATTTGGGTCCACTGCTGTAGTGACAATAGCATTGCCTTTGGGAGGCAAAGGAAGAAAATTAATTTATAAACAAGGCTGTAGTTAATACCCTGCTACAACTCTGAATATATTTAAATAACAAATTTAAAATTATTTCAATTGGTATTTGCGGCTAATAGTCACTGAGAGACTTCCATTGCAGTCAGCTCCTCCCTTTTCACTAGGGATACCTGTTTGTAGCAAACTAAAAGTTTTAACTCCTAATTGCGTGCAATCCAAGTAATAAACAACGATAATCAGACTTCAAAGTAAACTGATTGGGAGCCAGGAAAGACCAAAGTTTACATCTGTAAAGTAACTTTATACCCTTTTTCATTCACTCTACAGAAGCAATTCAAAGTCTTCTCACCTCTTTGAGGTAGCGCATCAAACGACAGAGAGCGTTCACCAGTGACAAGGTAAACCCGGTGAGGCCTTCACTTCTCTCAGTTCTGTGAACCTCACGACCTGTACATCGCTCATACTCCTCCAATTCATGCTCCACTTCACGTATCATGCGGTTGAGAACATCTAGGCTGGATTTGTTGTCCCCCCGAAGGTCGATGGGGATTGAATTAGGTGGAGAATCATCTCTCCTCTGTCTTGCAGAGTTCTGTGCAGTTTTTCTTTTCACTGAGGGAGAGAAAAAAGTGTCATTGGAATTTCAACTTGTATAGAGTTTTGCAATACCAATGAAATTACACTGTTTATTGAAGTAAATCAAAGGAGAGGCCCTCTCTTGCCCCGAGCTGAAATGGAGCATCAAAGAACGTCCCCAGCCATTCCAGTTATTTTCAGATCATCAAAACCCACATTTTCTGCCACCACGTTAGTACCTCTCAAGTATGCTTGTTTGGTGCTTTTATCCTAGATACCTGTTTATACTTTCCTCCTCCTCAGTTAAAAGCATGGAAACAGTTTGCCAGTGAATAGCCAGTGAAAATCATCAGCTGCTTTCAGGTCTCATATTTAGTGAGCAACCCTTTTACAACAATCCTTTCATGTTACATTTTGTATCTGATGCCAGTCCCCACATACAAATTTGTGTAGAGTATGGGGACTGATCTGCATCATAAGTTTGTGCAGCACAGAATAGAAAGCTGTATCAGACATAGAAAAGCCCTGCACAGGAGAGAACTCCATGGCTAGCAAGGTAATGGGTGGCATCAAATGGCCATATTTATGGTTCCCAGATTCCTATGTACTTTGCTTCACCAGTGAACGTGCAGAGTACAGAGGAACACAAGGGGCTGTGGAATGTCCATCCTTAGAGATGCTCAAGACTCAGCTGGACAAGGCCCCTCTAATCAAACTTCGGAGTTAGCCCTGCGACAACTTCCAAAGATGCCTTTCAACCTACATTTTCTTATGATATTAAGGACTTTGACCAAAGGGAGGTATGCTATTTTTAAAAGTACTAAACTTTTTGCTGCAATTTGCTTTTGTTTCCTTGAGTGCGGGTTCAGCACTTGTCTCACAGTATAAGTGGAGTCTACAGTCTCTTCTTCATCTTCATTCTGAAGTCTTGAATGGATTCTCTTGACTACATCGGTAGCATTGAGGGCTGATTTAAACATAAAAAAAACCAAAAAATACACACATGAAATATTTCGGGTATGTTCTTAATAGCAATATGTTATAAAGTAATTTTATTAGAAGAGCTGGCTTTTTAGTCTGGAAATTCATCTGAGTCAAATTAGCACATGTCTCTGCCTCTCACCCCCACCCAGGAAAGGAATTCCAGACAGGATCCTGTGAACAGCCTAACAACCCTTGAGAACCTGTGATTTGGCAAATCCAACCTGAATGATCCAATGATGGAGAAACAGTTGTTGGACTCAAAGGCACATTTGATTCCTGTGATAAGGTAGTTTTTCGCATATCCTTTTCAGCCCACAACTGAGAATTCACCAAGGAATTTTCTTCTCTCAATAACCGAAGTAGCCTACATTCAAAACAAGCATAACAGCGTAACAGTGAATTGTAATAGGATAATAGCATGATTCTAGATTATCTGTACAGTCTAGAAAGAGCTTTTTAAAATTTCTGTAACTGCTCAGGTTCGGTTCCCTGCTCACATTCATTCCCAGTCTGAATGCTACAACAAGGGGCTTCCCTAGAATTCTGAGGTCAGGAAAGGAGGAGGCAGGGAAACAGAAAAACTAACTTAACTATACCCATTCAACACCCTTTTAGCTCCATCTATTTCCAGTGTTAAGAAGGTGGAAACCTGAATGGATATATTGGTACTGACCTGTCAGAATTGATGCTGGATTTGAAATTCAGAGAGTCATGGTGTCCATCTTCTGATTGATAGATTGATAATGCTTCCTCTTCCACTTCATTAAGAGCCTTTTTAGGAGACAACAAAGAAAACAAAAGGGACTTCAGGGTAATTCCAATTTGGCTTTAGGAAGAAGTTAGAGATCAATTTTCTGAAATTGTATCAAGGAAAAAAATATAAACATTTGTTTCAGTCTCTACCTCCAAAACAATATTTAAAAAAAGACAAAGAAAGAAAAACACACCCTTCTGTGGGAAGAGTTTTGGGGGACTTTAGTACCTAAGAAATACTAACGCTGACAATTGTCTCTGAAAATAACACAGCGAGTGATTAATTCAACATAAAATATTTTATTTGAATGATTTATATTAAATAAGACCACACACTGTAGGATAAAGAAGCTTTAAAGACTGTACCAAAACAAATATAGCAGACAGAAGATGAAAAAAGCCACATAATTATAGCATTTCTAAAATTTTAGCCATTTGACATTACAAGCTAAACAACCTTGTAATGAGATCTGCAAAATTACATTTATACTCTATGTGCAAAAGGCAACCAGAACAAAATACAATCCTACATACCACATTCGCAGCAAAACTTAAGCAATAGAATTTGGACTTAGGGTTCCTCAAACCACCACGTTTCTGCACTTCTGGGTAAGCTTCACCAGATAGCCTTTAACGATTTTCATAGGCGCATAGGAAAAGAAAATCTCACAGAAGCTCAGCAGACAACTATCAGTACACGTGTCTTAAAAATTTAAGCCTACCCTGCAGCATGCATCCAGTGATACACCTTATAAAGATGCTACAGTTAACTCTCCATACTAAAAAACCACGAAAACCGAGTATCACATCGAAATACATGACAGAGCAGTACTGCAGCTCAGATCGCAGATATTTGTGCAAGATAGTAGGAAACAGGATTAGAGAACCATGAGATTACAACACCATCACTTTCATTCCCACAGCCCTTTTGGTCTTCATCAGTGAGCTGCTTTCCGGGAGTGTCATATGCCTGTTCTCAAGCCACAGGGAGCATTCCCAGTACAACTCATGTTATGAAAAGAAAACAGAACACAAAGGCGATCTGAATGAAATTTTAAACAAATTTAAACAATTTTTAAACTTTTTAAACAAATCTAAATAATTGTAAAAGAACGTTAAGTATTAAAAGTTAAGCTTGTAGGACTAATCAAGGCTGTGGAGTTAACTGCGGTACATTTACACGTGTGTTATCAGAAATAAACTGGAGCCCAAATGGCTCTGTCCCCATATATGCAGACATAGTTAGAAAATCAGAGGCATATTTCAATATGTATCTATTAGTTAAGTGAAACAAGAGTTGTTTCCGTCGTCTGTAATTACTTTATTCTCTCGCTGATAATTCCAGAATTTAAAAGGGAGAGCATGCTAATATGAGGGAGCTTCTATGAGACGTAAGAAGTTGTCGTCTCTCATACTCAAAGGTTAAGAAATCAAAAAAAATCATCGTTCCCAGAGTCTCACAAAACAAACCTCCATTTTATACCATTTTCTACGTATGTTACCAACATGTTCTCAATACACAGAAGAAAGGTTTAGGTCTTGCTTGGAAACTCTGCCTTTGAATATTCTTATTTTGTGCCAACAAAAAAGCTACAGGACATGCATGGAACTGAATATACATTACCTGGGAATCCATGACAGATTCATTAAGGATGGAAAGCTGAGTGGGAGGATCACATTTTTGTACAATGGGTCCTTGAGATGATTCTAGGTCACAGTTAGGAGCCATTGTTACATTAGGGAAACCTAGAGGAATCAGACAAAATAGGGAAGAACACAGAGGACTCGGTCTGTAGTATGTCACAGGACTTTGTACCAAAAAGCAAGCTCCTGTACTTTGCACAAAAAGGGTCACAGGGATGTGTGTTGCTTTAAACAACTGCCAAAGGCCAACCATAGAGTTATCTTCATACATTCTGCCATGTACCATGCTTTTGTCCTTCTCACCTGTGTAAATACACTTGTGCAGAAGCAGCATGTAGGATGAACCAGACATTATAAGCAAAAGAGAACGGCAGCCTACAGAGAAAAGAATCTAAGCTTAGGATTTCACATGCAAACAGCCAATCCTGCCTTTCAGCAGTGTAAGGACCCACAAACCAGGACAAGAAAGGGAAAAAAGCCTTGTTCATGAACTGATGATAAATCTTCAACTATATCCAAGAGCAAGCAGTCAACCCATGTAACAATGCAAACCAGAACTACTACAGCAGCTCAAACTGGTGCTCTGTATAGGCTGATAGCTTGGCTGTGGAGACGGTGAGCATCAGGTGTCTCAGTAAGTGATCCAAAATTCAACAATGGACCGATACAGTAGAATAACTGGCCACAGCTTGCTCTCCCTTGCCATGGGAGGTGTTATCCTCATCTGTGTTTCATCCAACATGAAGAGGATCAATGATACTATGTTAGATGATGAGATGAAAACAGTTAAAAAGAATATTTTGCAAAGCGAGGCTATTTATGAAAAGCAAGGAGATAATCTTAAATGTATTACCACATAAATGAGATGGGCTACCTGTTCGCGTGCGAGGAACATCCCGAAACAAGTCTTTTGCCACAGCCATAACCTGATTAGATCGTTCCAATACATCTTGCAAATGGTATTGATCAGACAGAATCTGAAAGTACAGCATATAAGGAAATATTTCATACTGAGCAGACTGGTTTTTCCTTTGTTTTTTTGGTATTGTTCTTCAAAACAGTTAGCAAGAGAACAGCCAACAAGACAATGTTTGCCAAGTTGGTACTGTGCAATTAGATCCTAATTAAGATAGATCAGAAAAACATACTTCATTCTGAATGGCTAGAATTCACTTAGTTTTTCTGAAAAATTAAACAATTATTACTTCTGGAGCCCCCATCAGCACTGATTCTTTCTCCTTAGAGCAAATCCTCTCACTCTCTTCTGCTCCCAGCCTGACACAAACAGGAAGCTGGATGTTTATGACACACTCATCAAAACAAAGATATATATCTGGCAATTAAAAAAAAAAAAATCAGCATGCATCCTTAAATCATTTGATCTCAATGTTGTCGAGTCAAAGAATGCTTATCTACATCTGACAGACACCCAAAAACTGCACTATTTGATTAGATCCAAACCAATTCAGGCAGACTTGTTTCATTCAGCCTCGACTACTGAAAATCCTGCCTAAAAATTAAGCTACCTACCGCCGTTTATGTCAACAGACATAAAGACAGCTGACTACACCTGGCATCCTAAGACATTTTGGGAATCCCTACGCATTTCTCACAAGGCACAGCTGCTGTATTCAAGGTTTCTCCACCCCAGTATTTGAAGTCCATCACTGGCACTATGACAGCCGACTCCTAAGGAGGGAGGTTTTTGAATGCAAAGCAAGAAGCATTCAGCTACTGCAAGACAAACGGAGCTGACTGGGGACATGACTTTGTGGGCAGAATGCAATTCAAAACTCCTCACTGACTTGTGGTTTCATTCACAAAGCTGGAAATGGCAAACTAGGAAAATTATATCCCACAATCTGGGAAAAAAGTAGCTGTTCTTAAATACCTGAGAGGAGACCAGATATGTAAGTGACTTCCACTTCATCGTGGTTAATCAAATGCAGCCAGAGAGACTGCAAGTATTTCAGAAGATCCCACAGAAAAGACAGGCTCATGTATGCCCTCCTACACAAAATTTGAGAACTGAGGGATGACTTCTACTCTTCCATGAATCATAAGAAGGACTGGTTTGCATCAGTTTCAAAGCTCTATATGCTGTTAGCTCCACAGACTTTCTTTCAGTGCTGACTGATAAATGTGCTGGTTTATATTCAGCCTCATTCAAAAAAATTCTAGGCAGTGGCATTTCACCTCGTTCCCCCCCATTTTACTGTTTTTTGTTATATCAAGAAGTTTCCCCATATACCTAGTTTCCACGTCTGTCTAGTCTTTTGAGCCTGAATTACACTGCAATATATCTCCTCATAACCAATTTAGCAAATCAGTGAATATTCATCTTTCAATCATCTCACGTATCCACTTTTCCAAATTACTATTCAGTTTTTACACTTGATACTAACTAAATCTAGTCTTTCCATTTTAGCCATCTGATGTCAAAACAATGCAGGTTTTTAGATGAAGTTATGCCAGATCTGCAGAAGAAGGAAAAAAAAAATCTACCTGTTCCAAAACATGATTGCTTTGCCTAAGGCAATTAAGACTAAGGTGATGTGTTTTATCAGACAAAAATTACCCTAATTTGTTTTCACACTCCCTACTAGATCTCTTTCAGCATC